ATGGGAACCATGGCCTCATGCATGCTAGCCAAGTGCTCGACCACTGAACACCATCCCCCTCCCAATCATGGGTTATTTGCAGGGTAAATTTAGCACTTCACTTTACATTGTATGCTAAAATTAATGTAGGGTGGAAGGCTAAAGCATACTATTTGTGGAAAGGGAAAAAATTGATAAATTTGACCACATAGAAATTATAAACTTCTGCAGACAAAATAACACACAGAAATTTTTTAATAATATGCCAGATAAAGAGTTGATATCTTCCCTGCCTTCGCCCATTTGGTGTGCTATAACAAAACACCACAAATTATGTGGTTTATAAACAAAACACTAACACTTATTTTTTCCCCCCCTCTGTTCTGGAGGCTTGGAAGTCCAAGTTGAAGACACTGGCAAATTTGATGTCTAGTGAGGGCCTGCTTCCTCTTTGAGCTTTCTGATGTCCTCACATGGTGGGAGGGGTGAACCATTTCAGTTATTTTCTTTTTTAAAATAAGGGCATTAATTCCATTTGTGAAGGGTCCACTTCCATGACTTAGCCCACCTGCCAAAGATCCCACCTCCCAATACCAATAATCTCTCAGGATTAGGACTTCAACATGTGAATTTTGGAAAGACATATTCAGACCATAGCATTCTGTCTATAAAGAATATGTACAAAATGATCAGAAAGCACTAAAACCTGGTAGAAAATGGGGAAAATATATACATATATCTATATAAAAGAAAAAGCAAGTGTCGAAGCCTTATGTTAAAATGTTAACCCTAATTAGTAATTAAGGTGATGATTACTAATGAAATTAGTAATGAAAGGTGATACCATTTTTTCTTGCTGTTTAATAATAATTAAAAGTTATAATAATGCTTAGCATGCACTAGACTCCGGCATTGAGAAAAAATTTGAAAAGCTAGTACAAGTGCCTTAAAATGAGGACTTTCATACAATACCATTGAACAAGTGATTTTTTTTTTTCTTGGTAGTACATACCGAAAACAACCCTGAGCAACAAATACATCAAGCCCTTTTCTTTTTCTTTTTTTGTTCCAGGGATTGAACTCAGGAGCACTTAACCACTGAGCCACATCCCCAGCCCTGTTTTGTATTTTATTTAGAGACAGGGTCTGGCTGAATTGCTCAGAGTCTCTCTAAGTTGCTGAGGCTGGCTTTGAACTCGCAATCCTCCTGCCTCAGCCTCCAGAGCTGCTGGGATCACAGGCGTGTGAGCCACTGCAACTGGCCTCAAGCCCCTTTCTTCTTCAGAACCTTGGAAAATGTTCCCTCTGCTTGGAACGCTCTCCCTAGATCACCCCGCCTCACCCTTCAGGTGTGAAAGCTCATCTCCTCCAGGCAGACTTCCACCACCTCCAGGCTAGATCAGATCCTCTTTCTTTAGTTTTCTATCCAGCAGTGTTCTGGAGAATCAAATGGCCGGGGCAGGTGGGGGCTGAAATCTCGCCATTCAGTGTTTAAACTTCCACTGAACTCTTCTATATTTGTTAATTGAGCTCCTGTCCTCATCTACATGGTGTTTCCTCAGCCTGAGACAGTCTTATCCTTTCTAGAGAATAAACTTCCATCCTTCCACGGTGAGGGGGTGGTCACCTCTGATGGAGCAGGGACTTGGGCATAACTGCACTAGGTCAGCCCTTCTCTTTTTATAGCTCCACCCCCGTTTCCCCTGGGGGAGTTGGAGCCCTCACTCTTATCTTGGGCTTGTTCTTCTCTGTTTCTGGATCGTCTACAAGGAATCACTTTCATCATCAGAAAAAAATATCCTAAAATTTTTTAAAAAGTCCCTAAATTTTAAAAGGTAAGAAATTTTAAAATTTCTTTGACCCTGTGATTTCATTTCTTGGAATCTCTCTCTTTTAGGGAAATGGAAACTTGGAAAACATTTATGTACAGGGCAAGTACATCACAGTACAATTTATTGTAGAAGCTCATAAGATTTTATCATCAGTTGCTTAACCATGACCTCAACCTTAGGTTTTTAGAATATAACTAATGATCTAGGAATGAAAGATGACTGGAAGGAATGACTTTAGAACATCACATCACGTTTAAAATCTAGAAAAATAATTCCATATAAGAAAAATAGAAAGAAATTAAAAGGTTAATGTCATCCCAGATTGCATGAAGAGAGGGAGAGGTTTTGGGTTGCAAGGGGTAATCTGGATTCTGATCACCTGGAGAATGGTGTCCAGCACATAGGAGAGGGTGACGCATGTTAAGAAGAAAGAGGACAAACAGCAGGTGGGTCAGAGACTTCTGGAAATAAGGATCAGCTGAGGAGATGGGAGGAGCAGGGCCTCTGGTGTTACTGCGTGTGCCTGCAGGGCTTAGCGGAAGGACAGAACAGCTGAGTGTCACGTGGCTCCTGGGGTCAGACCAAGGCTGTCTGCAGAAGCTTAAAGGTGGAGAAAGATGTTGGGGCAATCCTATGTTGGAAGCCTCTTCCTGAAAGCATGCACAGTCAGGCGAGGTTGGTGTGAAAAGGACATGAAGGACCCCAGACAAGGACTCTTGAGGTCAGTGGTAGAACCATGAGGTCAGGCACCCAGCGGCCAGTGAGCAGCATATTAGATGGGGAAGAAGTTCAGACATCACCCGGCCCAGAAGCTCTCTTGCCGTTCATAACGTTTATGACGTCCACATGCTCCCAACGGCCATAGATAAGATGACCTTGGGTTATGCAAAATTCCCAGTGTACTTTATATAACCCCGTGTCTTTCTTTTCTACTCAGGAAGGCAATCTAAATTCAAGTGCTTAGCATTCATCTTTTTATAGAAATAACCTTGAATCTGTTCTGATTCATAAAAAACAACACATCACTCATGAGCTTCAGATCAATGATTTGTATACAGCACTCCTGTACCCAATTGCTGTTTCTCACACAGACCTTTTGTTCACAACAGGGAGACCGAGGCCTAGAGAATGGAAAGAACCACAGTCCAGTGAGTCCGAGAGGTGGGAGGTAGGGGCCAGGTCTCCAGATGGTGGATCTTTCTGGGACTGAGAACCACCTGCTATCAACTTAGGTTTGGGTGGTAGTCAGGGATAGGCCAGTGAGAGGAAGGAGAAGCAAGGGAAGAAGTGAGACCTGCACCTGCTGTTCCATCCAGGCCACACCACCAAGCAGGTGCCCGAGTCTCACATATACTGACCGTTCTCCTCAGCCTCCCTGACCAGGGCTTAGAGGTGGGGGTGGGGCAGGGAGGGGTGGAGACAGACACACAGGGAGAAAGTCATATGAAGATGGAGTGATGCTTCTAGAAGCCAAGAAAAGCTGAAAGAAACTACCAGAATTTAGCAGAGAGGCATGGAACAGGTTGTGCCTCTAGGAACCAGCCTTTCAGACACCTTGATCTTGGCCTTCCAGCCTCCAGAACTGTGAGAGAACAGATTTTCCCCATTCCAGCCACCAGCTTGAGGTACTGTTACAGCAGCTCGAGTGGGCGAAGGCAGGTAGAGGGCACTCAGAACCACTCTTCCCTGCAGAAGTCTTTCTACAGGGAAGGTTTGGCCCTCCCCAAACATAATGTCTCCCCCACACCACACTGTCCTCACCCTTAAACCAAGTCTATTTGCCTGTGGGTTTGTGTGACCACCAGTCGAGGTCCCAATTCCAGTCTTGCGGAAGGTCCAAGTCCTGAGCCCCAGCCTGACCCCACGCACAACACCAAACTCAACAGCTGGTGAGCTTTGAGGGGTGGGTAGGGTGTCCTCTTTTCTCTCTTAAATCTTCCTGCTACTTTCCAAACTAGGACAGGTAGGGGAAACCAGAAACACAGGCTCCCAGGGCCCTCGGGTAGGGCTGGCTCCAAGACACCAACCTCTAGCTCACAGCCTCTGGCTGAGGGATTCTATTGAAGAGGACCTCCCAGCCTTCTCCAATGTATGCATTGCCTCGTTTCTGCCCAGTTTAACTTAACCCCCCATTTTACAATCAGAACTAATGCTGTGTGGGGCTTCGGTGGGGCTTCTGGGGAACACAAGTATCTCCTTGGCACTATCTTGCTGAGAAAGGCATGTATTGAATAGTGGTCCAGAGCCTGAGAGGGAGAGACTAGAGCTGGACAAGTCAGGGAGGGCTTCTCAGAGGTGTTTTTAGCCTTGCTGAGAAGTGTGAATTGATTTACTGCTTGACCATCAGGAGTCAGGGACAGGTATATTCTATTTTCTCATCATTAATGAGTCAGGCAATGTGATCTGCATTTAGATATGAGAAAACTGAGAGGAGTGAAATTGTTGGATTATATATGTTGTGGGCAGCATTCACATTCAGGACCCTCTGATGCCAAAGCTCATCTTCCTTTTCCTTCTGCACTGGGGCTTTTACCTTTTCTAGGTCTAGTAGTGTTTAAAGAACCGTGGGCTCTGGAAGTGTAGGGCAAGGATTGTCCAGGCTGCCGTGGTCTAATCTCCCTGGGTCTGTGGGTGCATGGAGGATGGCTAAGATGCAGACCCTTCAGCTGCTCCTTCCGGAGGGTGGACTAGAGAAGGCCAAGGCAGGAAGGACAAGCAAAGTAAATCTCCCTTCCCAAACCCCCCGGGGTCCAGGATGAGGTGGGACAGGTGCAGGGTGCATGGGAAGCATTTGAATTGGGCTGTGGAGGGCGTGGCTGGTGGGCCCTCTTGGGAAGCAAAGTGTCCAGTTGGAAGCACACTGCAGGCAGGCAGTGTGGCTGGGGCCGAATAGGAAAAGACACTGCTTTGGCCACCAGTTGATGGGCCTGTTGATTACCAGGGTCCCAAATGGGCTGAGGCAGTGGGATGAAGAGAAGCGGCCAGTGCCTGGGACATTTCAAAAGGCAGAAAGTTAGGACCCAGGGCTGCTGGGAGGCAGGACACAGGAGCTTGAGGTCTAAGGTACTGGCTGGAGTTGAGGCTGAAGAGACAAAGACAGTCTGTGCAGGACTGAAAAAAAAAAAAGTCCCAGGCAAAGTAACAGTCCCCTCCCGAAGAGCATCAGGACAGCATCGATACACACCTCAGTTGTGACCAAGTCCCATTTATTTTAGAAGCACAAATAGTGGAACAAGGAAAGAGTGACAAAAATAAGGCACTAGTCTCCTGGACAGGGCCAGAGCCAGCACAGGTTCTGTCTGACTGTGTGATCAAGGCTGACCCAGCAGCCTCCATTAGCCTTTCCCTGTGAGGAGAGGTTGAGAGGACAACCTAGGTAAAGGCCACTCTTCCAGAAGGGTAGGTATAGAACAAGGTGGCTCTGGGTCTCTCCAGATAGGTGAAAAGGCCCACAACACCCTTGTCCAAAAGCACCTGGGCTAGCTCTGTCTGTGCCCGGGAGTGTGGAAGCCATAGTGCCCTCTGGTCACCAGGAAGACCCCAGGAAACCAAGAACTACCTGCAGTGGGGCCCCCTGGCCAGACAGTATCCTCATCCCGGCCATCTCTGCAGAGCCCTGGAGAGGGGGCCTCCACAGCAGTCGGATTTCTCAGGACCCCTCTTTTGAATGTCATAAGTCCCAGGCCCCTACACATACTGTTTCTTGGAAGAACAGGTGCTGGGACGACTGGGGGATTTCCTTCCAGTCTGGGGAGGTGGGTCCAGGAAGAGCGGCGGCGGGTTGGAGGAAGCCAGTCTTTCCTCGGTGGTCAAGTTGGCCCAGTTTTGCTCAGTGGACGAGAGCCCGTTGTAGGTGGGGCATGGTGGCGATGAGGGCCCCTCACCCATGGGGAGGTAGAAGAACACCTGTTCAGGGTAAGGGTCTGAGGAGGTGCCCTGGGCGGGGGTTGTGTCCCGGCCTTGCTGCGCCCTTATCCCCCGGCTGAGGCAGCGGCACAGCAGGTACGCCAACTCCAGCAGGTTGAGCACCAGGGAGATCACTCCAACCACCAGCATGAAGATGATGAAGATGGTCTTCTCCGTGGGGCGGGAGACGTAGCAGTCCACGAAGTGGGGACAGGGTGCACGCTGGCACACAAACACAGGCTCCATGGTCCAGCCGTAAAGGCGCCACTGGCCATAGAGAAAGCCTGCCTCTAGCATGCTCTTGCACAGCACGCTGGCCACATAGGTGCCCATCAGCGCCCCACGGATCCGCAGGCGACCATCCTCTGCCACGGAGATCTTGGCCATCTGACGTTCTACGGCTGCCAGAGCCCGCTCCACGTGTGGGTCCTTGACTGGCAGGGCCCGCAGCTCACCCTCCTTCTGCCGCAGCCGTTCTTCTCTCCGGGACAGGTAAATGACGTGGCCCAGGTAAACCAGGGTGGGCGTGCTGACAAAGAGGAACTGCAGCACCCAGTAGCGCACGTGGGAGATGGGGAAGGCCAGGTCGTAGCAGACGTTGGTGCAGCCCGGCTGGGCTGTGTTACACTGGAAATCTGACTGCTCATCGCCCCACACGGACTCTCCAGCCAGGCCCAGGATGAGGATGCGGAAGATGAAGAGCACTGTCAGCCAGATCTTGCCCACCACAGTCGAGTGCTCCTGGACCTGGTCTAGCAACTTCTCAAGGAAGCCCCAGTCACCCATGGCTCGCGGCCTCTGTCTGCAGGGAGACAGAGCAAATCAGCATGGCAACGGAGCATTCTGCTCAGTCTGACCTAGCAACAAGCCTCGTGCGTGTGTGTGTGTGTGTGTGTGTGTGTGTGTGTGTGTGTGTATGAATGGAGTGTGGTCCTCCCATGTCCATTCTACCTGCAAGGAGACTCAGGCTCAGCAAGGAGTCAGGGCCCGAAGCAGAGCTTTGTGATGATGGCTGCTAAGTTGTATGCCCTTGTTTTACTTATCTGAATGGCAGGGGCAAGGGGTATTCATGTATTTGTGCCTGCTTGTCCCCACCCAGAGCCCCAGGATGACCCAAGGAGATCTGGATTGAGTTGAAGCTCCTTTGCCTATGGGATCAGAAAATTTGAGGAATTTATCCAAGGTCACACAGCTGTGCTCTACCCTTCCTCCCTCTTGCCCAAGGCTGGCTATTCCCAGATAGAAGGGTGGGTGAGTGGTGGGTGGTAGAGGTGTTAATTTCAGATTCTTAGGGGGCTCAGATTCTCAGGTTCCCCCCACCCCCCACCCCAGCTGGCCTCACTGTACTCTGGGCTTGCAGTGGGGGTGGGGAACGGATCTGAGTGAGGTTTTAGAAACTGAACGGGGCTTCCTGCATTAACTTCACCTGGCAACAATAGTAAGCACCTGCCACTTAAATAGGGCTACTTGGTCCTGTCCTCTCCTCTGCCCTATCTCTCCCCTGACCTCCAAAGCTGCTTCTGTCAAATTTTAGACTTTTGAAAGGAATTGTCTTTGCAGGGTGGAGACACAGGCCTCAAAGTTCCCAGAACATTTAGGGGGAAGGAAGGTGAGGGGGGGGAGAGAAGAGGGAGTGCCTCTTCCGGGGGGGCAAAGCCGTTGAGCGCCAGGCTCTGGAACCAGACCAGGGTTCAAATCTCCCCTCCTTCTTACTAACCGGCTGGGCACCTCCGAGTCCCCTCCCGTCAGGATTCAGTGAAGGAAGGGGGAAGCAGCTCTTGGTGCGCAGCCTGGCCAGAGGCAGGCAAGGTGTGCGCTGCCGGCCTG